GAGGCGGACGAGTTCGAAGTAGAATCCACTGTCACAGTCAATATCAGACCCTTCCTGAAGTCCAAAGTACCCGACCACTATGCCGGAGCATATTTTTCATTACTGCAATGTAAAAACCTGATTGTGTCGTCGCCCGGTGCTAACAAGTTCTGGAATATGGCTAGACAAGCTTCAAGTGATCTTCACGCAAGGTTAAACAAAAATGAACACTTTCAATTGTGGACGAAAATGAAAGCCATTTTGCTAATGGTGACTCGAATGACGAATGGAGCTCCCAAGGTTGATAGATCCGGTGGGCGCAATGAGCAACTGCTAGTCTTTACTAACCTTGGTTACGCAAACTTTCTAGATGGATCTCCTGATGATGAAGTCATCCTCCGTGCCAGGTTCGGCTGTTCTGCAGTGCACCAGCGTGGATCCGTATGTAACCATAACATAGCAACATTCAATGGCAAATTGTTTTGGACTGTCATTTATTACAGCAACGTTGTGAAGTGATGCCACAGCCCAGACGTATGCTAATTTGGTCAAAGGAACTATTCTAAAGGCCATCAAGGAATTCAAGGACTAGATATCATATCATTGTTAAGTTATTTTTTTTACTTGGTATTGTAGAACGTCCAGAAACTTTCAGTAGCCGTTCGTTTATTGTATCACTAGTCACACTTTGACGGCATGTGACAACGGTTTGTAGTCAGTTAGTCAGAGGGGGACATTGGGGTTTGCGGTACTGTGGTATTGCACAATTTTTCCGTTTGCGGCATTTCAGTAGTTTTAATCTCGAAATCCGGTGTTGCGTTATTCTCCGAACCTGCGCGCGCGGGATGCGATTTTTTTTAGCATTTTGGACAGTATTAGAGATCATCCTCCAAGTCCTCCAACGTTTTCCGAGCCTTTTCCAGTTATCCGATTGGAAGTCCCCGATGAAACCGGCAACGGTAAACTGCTATTCCCTGGGTCGCACTCAGAACAGGGTAAGTTTTATTGTTCATTATTAGGCAACACGCCACTGGATGTTTTTTGCTTTATATATGTTGTCTAAATCGAAAACTAGCTGATTTAACGTTCATTAACAAATTCTTATTTGCTATATTTGCTCTGAACTTAACATACAGAGTGGAGGTTTCGATATGACATCGAGTTTCGACTCGGTATTGAAGTATTGCGGTATATATACAGAGGATATTACACGGTGGCGAGAAGATATGAATTTTATGTTCGAGTGGCAAGAACAATATCTC